TTACAGAAGTATTTCTTCAAAAACCTATTTCAAAATGTTAAGAGCATGAGCTTACGTTAGGAGCCCCTTATTCCAAAGGCTTTGAAAAAACAACTTTTTGGGGAAAAAAATGTGTTAAGATGCCCACGTTTGTTCCTCTTTTATTTCAAATCACATATGCAGACAGTTTGCATCATTAATTTAATTAATGGCCTACTGAATCGTGTTTCCTGAGACTAGACTAAGAAACTTTGGTTTTCTGTGCACACCTCAACAGGCAGAGATTTGATTTTAAAACAATGTCTTAAAGTCTCTGTGTCAGCTCCAGGCCCCACAGGTGCACAGGGCCTGTGCACCCCAGGACCTCCTGCCCAGCTGCTAGGCTCAGCTCCTCTCGTGAGACCAGGCCGGGAAATTCCCTCACACCTACTTTAAATGGATCAGATAGGAGAGGGAGATAGAGACATACACCTTTAGAAGAGTTCCTAAGGCCCTCACCAATTTCTAGGGAAAGTTACGAACTTGTTTTCCTGTGGCAAAGAAAATACACATTCAAACAGGCTAACAGACCTTCAGTAGCACTTAATTAGTGATTAAGCAAACATTTTGATCCTTTCCATTATCAGATGGAGAGCTACACATCTCCCATCGGTTACAGACAAGCCACAAACGTGGCCGTGAACACCGGGATCTGCAAGGACCGAAGGTGCTGCCTGCCAGGGAGAGGCACGAAGCTCCACAACTGAACGCGCATAAAGCAGCCTCAGAGTCCTCTTTTGTGGCAGGTAAGGCTGAAAACTGATGAAAACAACGTACTTCATCTTATTCCTAATGTAATAAAGAACTACATCCACACACACGTTGAACTTCTGTACATCAGGAGGTAAGAAATGACACACTTCTTCTATTCCAGGGTCACTGGGCAGTTTCTCCAAAGCAGCAAGGTGAGGCGCCTCAGCAGAGCCCTGGCTCTTCCAGAGACTCAGAACTCCACAACTATCTTCAAAAGCGATGTATCAAAACACTTACTCTATTGCAGCACCTTCCAGTGCATAAAGACATCCATTTTTTTCCATCTAAGAGAATTAATGTGCTTACTTCCCCATCTCATCTCCCTTTTTAAGGCACCTTGTTCTTGTCTTTATGAAAAGCGGACATGGCTGCAATGGAAGAGGGCCCTCAATTCACAAGTTCTGTGCAACTAGTACTTGTTTTTTTCTTAGCTTAGCACTGCCTAATTGTGGAAATTTTCAGAGATGCACAGAACTAGGTAGCTGAGTCATCCACGTCACTGCCAGTAATTACTCACAAAGGAGTTATGCAACTCCTAACACTGACAAAATTCAGTGGCCTTTGACGGACCAGGATCATAACATGCTTGAAAGGATGGGCCCAAATCAAAGATATATTTACTTAAATTGGTATGGACAGACTATGTACAACAACAGCAAAGCTCCACTTAGGAGCACGTCTTTTTGAAGGCTGCAACTTTCAACACAGCTCAGCTTTCTAGCTGAATACTTCCATTTCCAGTCGCTTTGCTGTTCCAGCCTTGCCCTCCATGTCACTTGCAGCCAGTTAAGCAACCTGTTTCTGAAGTACTTATTTAACAAATAAATGAGTATGAAGTTGCATTTATGCAATTCACACTATTAATATTGTGAACGGCATACACTTGCTAAGGCAAGTGCAGTTCTTACTTGAAACGCGTGCAATACCACTTCTATTAAGTGAGCAGAAAACCCCAAAAGTCCAGTATTCTGCCCATTTCTGAGTATTTTGGCATTTTGTTAGCTTGGCGAATGAAGTGTTAACAAGCATTCTGTTTCTTTGTAGATTGCAGTCATTTTACTAATCTGCTACATTTGTTTATAATCAATACCTCTATTGTATCTATTTTTGACAATGAAACTACTTTTTAACCCTGTACTTCAAAGGAAAGAAGTTCACTGATATCTGAAGCTTAAACTGCATGACACTAAACCTTTTACATGTGCTTAAGGAATTCCCATAGCCACAGAACTGTTTCAGAAGTGACACTGTCACAGGAACACAAGAACAGACAAAAAAACTTCGTGGCGCACAGTTCAAAATCCAATCCTCAGCACTTCAAAAGCAGCCCAACATGAAAAAGCACAAAATAATTCAATTCTAAACTTCCTCCAGAAGTTCATGTTGTTTTTATGCCTTCAAGCATGAAAGTTTGTTTCCTACCTTCAAGATTGCATTCTTCCTTTGCCAACTGTTTTTAGTTCATCAAGTCGACACAAGTGCTACTTCACTGGAAATGCACTTATTTCTAATAATGTAATTCTAAATTTAGCCAACAAGCAGATTCCTCAGAGAGAATTGTTTCGCCAATTTTTCCTCCTGTGGTACAACTAATGGACAAGAGCTCTAGTAAGTGCAAATAATTTAGTCTTTAAAACAGAAGACCGTCTCTTAGTTGACCATAGTTCCTGCAAGTGCAAGGTCACCTAGACCTATCAGATCATAAACACGGGGTTACATTAAGTATTATAAGCAATAATTTGTTCTATAAATGTTAAGTGAAGAATCTAAACTAAACCACCTCCCTTAGATCCCCTAAACCAACTGAATGTAAAATTTCCAATGAATACTACATCTCTCCCAACTCCACTTAGATGAAGTGTTACGACAATAGTATTTGCTAATGCAATTTGGGAACTTCACAGGCAACCTGAAGGAACTGTTTTTGGTATAAATGAAGTTTTAAAGGCTGCTAGCCAAACGTAACAAGGACATAACAAATGTGATGTCTCATTTTAATCAGAGCACAACTGAAACAGGTTTATGCAGACACTGTTAGGTAAGCAGTTCCTGTAGGGGCTTGAGGAAAGCACAATTTGAAGAGCAACTGTTGCTAATGGGGCTGTTCTGGACATCCATCCATTGCTCCACACCACCTTGGCTGGGTGAGCAGGACTGCGAAGCCAGGCTCCTACAGGAATGCATTGCCAAGCTCCCGGCTCTTCACAAACACCCACGGAGGCGTTGAAGATAACTCGGACGTCACCACAGTCAGCAGAACCACCTGTCTGAGCTTTGCGGTGCTGAAGCTATCACAGGTCCTCCTGCCAATCCTGCTGTCAATACAGTATTTATGGCAGAGACCATACACAGGAGCAGCATGAACACAACACGCTGAAAGTAGCACAAGCCATTTGCAGAGGGGTGTTTGCCCAGCCAGAAAATACCGTGAGCTGTGCAGCAACCACAAAGTTTTACATTTCAACTGCAACACTTTAACTGTGTGTGTTTTAAACCCTACCATATCGCAATACTCTTCAAGAATAGCTCAGTGGTGTCAAGAACATTCTCAGACATTCAGTAAGCTTCATACCTTAAGTACAGCGTGCTATTTTTACAAACCATAATAGCAACAAATAGGCTTTAATACTTCTGCTGACTTTTTAATCCTTACCTTTAGCTTCACTAACGTAATTAGGATTTCTCTATTATTAAGGTACATGAACTGCGTTAAGTATTAGACCATTAAGATACTTAAAGTGTAGCAGGCACGGTGTAGAAATGCATGTCCAGTAATTACAGGGCTTGGATGTGGAACTCTGTAGACACAGCAGCAGAGAATAAATATAAATACAGAGTTTGAAATCCCATGGATTTATTCCTATTGTGAACTACTGTATGTTTCCTTTACGTGTACGTATCGACGTTATCAGAGAAGTAAACTTCACCAAGATCCTTCGCTGGCGATTATTTCATCCATCCCCAAACGTGCAGGTAGGCCAACCTGGGTGCACTTTGTACACGGAGACGAATCTGCTGCAGCCTTCTCCGCTCCCGATAAGCAAACCCCACCGCATCCCAGCAAGCGAGTCCGACCAGTTCCCAGCAGCTTTATTTCGATAACATCTCCTGCGCGTCTAAACGCACCGAGGTGCAGCCTCCCCTTTTGTCACACCTACCGGCACCGGCTTGCGATTCAGCCGGGGAAAAGTTTCGGTGCTCCTGCGGAGCTATAACCCGGCACCCCAGCACCAGCAGCCGCCTGCTCGGCACCGCCTTGGGGGCAGAGGCAGGCACCGAGCGGTGCCCCGGTGCCTTCCCCCCGGTGCCCCCCGGGGTGTGCAGCGAGGAACCGGCTCCCGGTGCCCGCCGCCTGCCCGAGCTCCCGGCGGCACGGAGGCGATTTCGCACAACTTGCAGCAACTTTGCCGGGGCGGCTCAGGAGCTCGGGGGCCGCATTTTCACCCCGGGACCACGCAGCCCCAACCCCCCCCCCCCCCCCAAGCTGCGAGCCGTGCCCGCATCCCCCCCCCCCCCCCCCCCCAGCTTCGCCCCCGCCGCCGGGGCCGCGAGGAAGTGGCGTCGGCCGCGGGCGCCGGAGGAAGCCGCGGGGCCGGGCTCTGCCCCGGCGCGGGGGGGCGCGGCCGCCTGCCCTGCCCTGCCCTACCCGAGGGGACCGGGGAGCGAGGAGGGGGCTCCCCGGGAGGCACCCCCGTGGGCAGACGGCTCCCGTGGCCGGCGGGCAGGTGCCCTTGTACCGGGGGAGCCCCCGCGGCGCCGCCCCGCCCCGCACTGACCTCGCCGCCGCTCACGTACAGCTCCATTTTGTGGCGGGGCTCCGGCTCCTCCGCGTCCTCCAGCGGAGCGAACGGCACCATGGCCCGGCTCCGCGCCGCCGCTCTGCTCCCTACCGGGGGAGCCGCCACCGGCTGCTGCTGGGGCTGCTGCTGGTGGTAGTGGTGGTAGCGGTAATGGTGGTGGTGCCGCTGCGCATTCCGCGGGGGCCGGGAGGCGGCGGAGCCCCCTGCCGCCGCCCACGCAGCGCAGCGCGGCGGGGCTCGGGCTCGGGCTCACGGCTGCGGCTGCTGCCGGCCGGCGGGGGCGGCTCCGCGCTGCGCTCCCCCGCGCACACCCCCCAACATGGCGGCCGCCGGGGGCAGGGCCTGCGCCGCACGGGGGTGACGTCAGGGCGGGACGGAGAATCCCTGCACGGGGAGGGGAGAGGAGAGGAGGAGGGGAGGTGACCTGGGGAGGGGGGGTGCCCCTCTGCAGGGCGCCGTGGGTAGCGCATTGGGGACTGTGTGAGGCTGGGGGAGGAAGGGTGAAGTCCTGGGAGAGCGGCAGGAGGGTGTTTAAGGGATAATCAATCAGTTAATAAATAAATAAGCGCAAAGCTGCCGTCGCCTCAACGCAGCGAGGCTGCCCCCCGGCTGAGGGAGCCGCCGTCCCGCCTCATGGTGGGGGCGGGCAGCACCTGAGGGGTCTGTGTGAGGATGGGGGAGAAGGAGCGAAGGCCTCGGAGAGCAGGAGGGCGTTTAAAAATAAATCAATACATCAATAAATAAATCAATAAGCACAAAGGTGCCGTCACCTCAGCGAGGCTGCCCCCAGCTGAGGGAGCCGCCGTCCCCTCAGCCCGCCCGCGCGACCCGGGGCGCCGTGAGCTCCCCTCACGAACGCCGCCGGAGCCTCCTGGGGCTCTGCTACCCGGTGAGGAGACTGAGGGAGAAAAGTTTTTCCCTGCGTCTATTTTTTACTTTTTTTTTTTTTTTGCAACTCGGGGGTGGCAGGATACGAAGGGGAGGCGGCTGCGAAGCGGGGAGCCGAGCAGCAGGACGAGCCGGGCCCGGGGGAGCCGCGCCGCCTCTCCCTGGTTACCGACCCGCGAGTGGGCGGCCGCCTTTGTTTCCAGGCACGGGCTTGGAGAGAAACGCCGCGGCATTTCCGAACCTGAGGGGGGAAATACAAGGCCAGGGGTGAGAAAATAATGTTTTCCCAGCACTGTTTGATGCTGGGAGCTGGAAAACATTCGACGGTACTACCGAAAACACGTAATTTTAAGGACAGAAAACTGCCTCACTGACACCGAGTATTTATTTAAGTGCCGCACGATCTCTCGGTGAGCCCTGCCCCTTAGATAAAGCTGGAAAAGGAAGTCTCAAACTGTTCTAAATTGCCAAATAATTTTGATGAAATTAGTATGATTTGAGGGAGCAAAATGGTACGCTCCGTAGTCCAGAATGCTGTTTTTTTAACTCAGAAGTCAATCGTTGGACAAACAGGTAGAAGATGCCTGGCTGCTGCCATCCTTGGTTAAATTTGGGCAACCTGTTCCACAGCGCTCACCGGTACAGTCCCCTGCCACCCAGCCTGCTGAAGAGTTGCCTGTTGTGGATGTGTCATTGCAGCAAGAGCCAGCTGGCATGTCAGCATTTCCATTGCAAACCTATTTTTAAAGGTCTGTAACTCAACCGTGGAAGACAAATGCTTTGGACTGAAACGGGGACTGTGTACCAGGAATGTTCTCCTACAGAAAATAAAAAGTATACGAGAAAATGCAGGACCAGAGTTACCACTTCGTAATATTGAGAGAGAATTTACATTCCAAATATAGAACTATTCAGGACAGGTCACTTGTAAACATTGTTTTTGTTGTAATAGGATAATGTGTACCCGGACCTCTTAGAGTAATCACGCAGCGGCAGAGCAGGTGGAAAGCTCCAGCTTCGTGAGCCTCTGGTTCATACACTGCCACCTACCCCAGTGCCTCTGCTCCTTGGTGTTACTGGTGTGTGTCCACAAGCAGCCAAAGGGGCAAAGCTTTTTATTTATTATTTATTTTTCTTTGAGATTAAATATTCATGTACTTGAGCAGTGCCATGGAGCAGATCTTAATTTACATACAAAGGAAATCAACTGAGAAGTGACTTTTTGAAAGTGCTTGAGTGCTCAGCAAGAACTGGTGTTTAAAACTTGTGTTGCAGATGCCTCTCTGCATCTGAGTTTTTTTAACGCTACTGAGGCTTTTCTTCAGTGTCTCAAACACTACGAGGATACAAATGATGGCCCTGCATTCCCAAAGTCCTAACACTATAATATTTGAGAAGTTCGGAGTAAAGCAATGATTGAAGAAGTTGGCATTGTTACTCGTTTCTTGTCAAAGATTACAAGAGTGAAATTGTGATACAGGTAGATATAATAATGACTGATTCAGAAAAGTAATTTCAGAGTTTCTTTTGCTCTAGGTTTCACAACCAAAGAAACAAAAGATATTCATTTAAAAAGGCAGCAATATGTCACTGAAATTCAAAACTTGACAAGATCCAAAAAGAAATTGGCTTTTATAGAGAAAGAAAACATCAAAAATATCATGGAAAGTCAATAAGATAGGAAGACCAAGGTCTTATGTCTTGGGTTTCAAACGAATATTTCAATTATATATATATATATATATATAAATGTTTTTTATACCTGTTTTTCAGAGTATCTCATCTCACCCGTGTCCATGACTGTATGGATATCAGATCTCCTTTGGTGTGCAATTTTCAGGTGAGGATATCAGATCTCATTTGGTGTGCAGTTCTCAGCTGAATATTTCTTGCATTCCAGAAGCTTAATTTGTTCAGCAAGTTCTGCTCATTATGTTCCACAGCATGTTGTTGTATGATCAGCATGACATTATAACCTTTTTTCCCTCTGCCAGGTACATTTATTAGATGAAGGTTTCAAAGTAACCAGTTTCTAAATATTTATTGATTTTAAAATTAATTCTATGACAAGGCAAAGTTGCTGAGAATACTCTTTTACCTACTCTACTAGGAAAGGAATTATAATAATAAGCAGGATCTGCAGCCCAAATTCAGCCTGTTCAGTGTCAGTAACATGAGCTCTAATCATTCAGTTGTCCTTTTTGTAGACTTCACAACTGTGGCCAACTCACAGCATCCATGCGTAGCTTGCTCATTCAGTTTCTCTGAAAGTATCAGTCATACACTTGAGAATATGAAGAACAGATTATTTATGAGATAAAAATATCTCTGCAAATTTTCTGTGGATGATTCCTAGCAGTACTAGGAATATGCCTTCTCAGAGAAGCATATTATAGAGCTGCACTCCCTCCTAAGTTTTCTGTCAATCTGTGTCAACCTTGTCCCTAAACAGGATTATTTCAGAAGTATCCCACAACCTTTGCACTCATTCATCCAGTGAGTTTTCCGACAAAGGAAAAGGAAGAATACTATGATCAGGCCAGTTTCTTCTGTTCTCCTCCTCCCGCCAGTTACTGATACTGGAATCCGAACCATGCTAACCACGGCAGGTACAGCGCAGCTCCACCCTGGAAAGCAAAGCAGAAAAAAAAGCAGCATGGATATAGGATTACGTGAAGAGTATCTCATTCAGCAAGATCTTGGGAAGGAAACTATATAAAAATAAAAGTTTGAGCAAACTGCTCAAGTCAAGACTAAAGATTTATTTTGAATATACTACAATGGTAAAGCCCCTGAAAGGGAACAAATGCAAATTTAGTTTCTGTAGATTCCGTTCAAGGCAGGATGTGAGCTCTAGTATCGATTGTGGAGGTGGTCTAGGGGAGGATACAGTTAATTTCTTAGGGCAACTTTATTCAAATTCTGAATTATTTCACCTTTAATCTTTTGTACGATACAATTCAACAACACTTGCACTGTCTGAGCAGTACAACTCTTTCCTATTGTGTGGCTGAATTTACGTGGGTACAAAGCATGCTTCTATTAGCATGACTCGTTCTCATTCAAAAAGGAAAAAGAACTGTCCTGATGCACAGAAAATGTTTGGTTATGTGCTTGTGTCTACACCAGAACTGTTCCAGAGCAGGAACTGATGTACACAAGGGTCAGGCGGTCGGGAGGGTGGGCTCTCACACTGATATAAGACAGTGCAGTGTTTTCATTCTCAGTCCAGGGTCACAGCTGTAGCTAGTAAGCTGTGCAGATACTTTATGCACAGCATAAATCGATCTGGTGTTAATGAAGCAAATATTACAGCAAGATTTTTGCAATTCTAGAAACTAATATAAAAATAATAATCCAACTAAATAGAAATGGTTAAGTTATGGAAGAGTATCCTAAGAAAATCTTCAATCGATACTGAGTTAGTCTTAACACGAAATAGCGATGTGAGAGTCTGTATCCCATCCTGATTATACTGATATTTAAAAAATGTGAATAAAGGCAAACTCATGTATGTATTTAGAGAACTGTGGTATAAAATATATTATAAACAGTTTTGTGTTGTTAAACAGTTCATTATGTAGTATGCCCCATCCTACTAAGGCAAGAGAAGTCAATTACGTGAAGAAACAGCAAGAAACATTTTTGTATTCATTTATGATTATATGAAGGACAAGTGAAGAGGCCCTTACTGAATTCCTTCTTCAGCATTATGATTATATTTTTCCATCTACATCTTTTGTACTTTTGTAGCAAGTTTTTAAAAAGCTTGTTTACGGATAAAAAAGCAGACCAATTTAAGAGATGACGCTCATAGTTCAATGCCTTGATAAAGATCCTTGATACTTGCTATTTCACTCTCACCATCAAAGCATCATGCTTTTCTCAGGCTATTACAGAATAGTAGCCAGCTAGCCCCAGAGGACAAATTTAGCAACAAGTTTTGCCACTTTCATCCGAAATGAGCTAAAGAAAGATCTCAGACAAGCAGAACACACAATGAATTTAATCTCTGCTGATCACGTTGCATCAAGAAAAGGGAGTAAAAACTATATAGGCACAGTGAGTGAAGCTCCTGCTAGATATTTTTATGCTTATCTCATTATTTTTATTTTTTTTCCAATTAAAACTTTGTACTTGTTCTTCATTTCAAAATGCATTTTGAATTCAAATATCCTACAACATAATATTTTTGCAGAACTGCATGAATGCTCCAGACCAGCCAACTTACACATCTCAGAAGTTGTATGCTATCAAACCAAAGCCTGCTTACAGTGAAGTTAAAGACCCAGCGTCCTATCTCTGGCCAAGAAAGCAGATGCCAGACAGAAAATACGAACAGGGTAAGCAGTACATAACCATACTTTTCCAGAATTTATTTTCAGCCTCCAGCCATTCAGGTTTCCTGAGCCCTGGGTGGTGTCTTGTACTGAATAGTCTTGATGGATATTTCTTCCATGAATCTACCCAAACACTCTTGAATCTCTAAATTTTTAGCAGAGATAATATCTCACAAGTTCCACAACTATACCTTATTTCAGAGGCTCACTTTTAGCCTACCCCTTAGTTTTATCCAGTGTTCCCCAGCTGCACTTTGTAATAGGGATTAAGCAGCCTTTCCACATCAGTTGTGATTGTGTGTGTGTGGTGTATTTCCCACCTGCACCATGCTGTCATCCTCTTCTCTGTTTCCCAGGCTGAGATTCCTGGGCTGTTAAGTCAGTTGTGAATGAAGGGTGGAGAAATTCTAGTTTCTCTTTACATATTTTCACTAGCAATGTGGAAGTGAATATTAAATAGCTACCAATAGCGTGCATGAATTACAAAAGGAAAGGTAAGTAATGAGCAGTCATTAGCTATCGAAGTCCTTTGGGGAATGACAGGTGACTCAAAGCAAATTACAGGCTTACCACAAGAACTGGGTGGACAAGCAGCAATCTGGTAAGGAGGGAGTTTGTTTTGCATCCACAAGGACCATTGCAGAGATGGAGACTGAGGCTTTGTGTACAGTTTTGGAATCTGAGCTTGGAAAACCACAGCAGTGAACCACAGAAATACCCCAGCCTCCACCTAAAGTTTGCAGTGGAAAACCCAAAGGCCCAGCTTTATCAAACCTGGTTATAAGTGCTCATCAAACGAGAATTTCTTTGGTAGTCTAGTTCTGTTTCCAAAAGCTACAGAAGAAAAACAAAGCAACTATATTTTGCATATAAACACCTCAGCTGAGCTGAGCCAAACACAGGTCAAAAAAGAATTTAAATACTACAATCAGTTACCACCGCAGTCTGAACACACCAAGAAATAGCAAATTTACCATAAGCAACTGATTTTTTTTTTGAAACTGAATCTCACATACAAATCTCATTTGCATTTTCCAAAACTTACTTCATTATTTTTCTTCAAACCTGTTTAATCCTTGAAACTGAAATGAAATCAGAGAAATCTGGCTAGAATTTGCTGTGAATTTTGCCTCAGAGCACAGAACAAACCATCATGATGTTCCAACATGCAAATGTATCAACAATGATGAATACTTAAGGAATTGATTGCATCTAAAATCATCATGATCTCAGTCTCCAGGGAAGTTTTTGTGACAGCAGGGGTGTTACTTTTGAAATGATACAGAGCCAAAGCTGTTGCCAGTCCCTAACTTTAGCTAGGAGCCCACATATCATGCCTCAAACTAGTATCCTAATCATCTCAGGTGAAAAATCTTCCCATTTTGGAAGATTATAATTAACTTCCTACTGAGCCATGCTTAGAAGAATGTCTCAACCTGCAAGATTAAATAGGGACTTAGTATCTGTCAGCAATCATTCAGCAGTAGCTGTTTGTGTCTTGCAGCATAAAGATACTGATTTAACATATTATATTTAGAAAATGTTTTCTCCTTATTGTGGAACAAAAGGACTTGACTGCATGAGTAATAGATGTATTACTGGGATACAGAGTAGGTCGCTGAATACCACTTCTGCCATATTAGTTGATGCCTTCAGATAATTGCTGTAGCAGCAGGACTTTCAGAATCCCCTCTCCTGGAGAAAGAGAAATCACCATGCCTTCCCAACCCACTGATATTCTCTGAGTTTCTGTGGGTCAACATAACTCGGACTGATAGCTATTTTTTCTCTGCTGTTATCAAGGTTATTTCCAAGCCATCTTGACTTTGCTTCTGTTCCAATTAGGGCATGACTTGACTCATCAGTTCTTTATTTGGAACACACATCACATTTCTTCACTTCATCACTTTTCCTCCCAGTGAGGTCACTTGTTTGTGGCCATTCAATACTTCATTCAAGTACCGATTTCTCAATTTAATTCATTTTCATACAATCCTGTGCAGAGTCTTTCTTAAAGCCACAGTTCAGCCAAGTAGCTATTATGCAGAAGGATAACTTTGGGTTTAGCAGGATATAAACATATGGAAAAAGCTGAGGCCATTCTGAAATATGTTTCAGAACCAGTATCTGAAGCCCAAATTCTTTTTCCATTAAAAATGGTGCAAATTTTCATAATAATTTCAATGGGAACATGATCATTCTCTAAGTAATTGCTATCAGGAATTTAATTTAAACCTCATTTGACTGACATTTCTTGTTTGCAAGATAGCTATTTTAGGAACAATGTCTTGCTAGTATATCTCTCTTCATCTTAGTCATGACTGATAACAGAATAATCATCTCAACTACTTTCCTTTTCTTTTCCTGCATAATGGCTTCGCTGCATTTTCACATACCAAACACACAAGAATAGAAACAATTCGACAAATAACAGTATTATATGCAGATAAGCAGGTAAGTGAAGAGAAAGAACTTGCTTGAAACTATCCTGGCCTGGGTAACAGGCTGAGAACCCTTTGTAGTCACACATGGTTTGTTTAAAAGACTAAGGGAAGATGCAAGGTTGTCTCTGAAGCGTGCCTGTAACTCACATTACTCTAAACTGACGTTACATCCACGTATTAAATACAGAATTTCTGTGTACCGTAACTCCTCCCTGCTCTTTCCTTGTCTCTCTGATGTACCGTGTTGTTCTGCAAGAGTTAACTGTTCGGTCCTGCCAATGCTATCTGATAACAGGACACCATCAGCAAAGTCAGAACTATTTATCCCAGTCACATTGAGCTTTCCCAGGACGAATCTGAAGCAGCTATCACAATTGTAATTTATTTTTAAACAGTATATTTCATACAGGGAAATGCCACAAAAGGCTTCACCGTTCATTTCATTATCTTGTTTCTTCTACTGCTTTAATAAAAGACAGCGGTCATAGGGCAGCTGAATGCCAAGTTAAAAAAGAACATTACTTGTGACTGTTTCCAGTTCTTTGTAATATTTTCTCATTTGCCATAAATCTATGAGGACAAGAGATTACAGAGAGTTTTCAGCAAGTTGACTTTGACACGGAAAGAGCTGCTTCTCCTTTTAATGATGAGCTGTCACAGGCATCGATCAGCAGCCATGGCAGAACAGATGAAAGCAGTAAAAAATGACAGACAAACAGACTTCTTAACGATAAGGAAAAAATACAGTCCAAACCATCTGAGAGACAGATTCTTGTTGGCTTTAATGGGAGGACTGTTTCCTTTTTTTTTTTTTCTTTTTTTTTTTTTTTTTTTTTTAGTAAGCCTTGTGTATTGGCTTCAGTGAGAAATGGGAGCACTTAACAAAGGAAGCATCTAATAGAATGAGGTCAGACTTTTAAAGAATGGCTATTACCCAACAAAGCAGAACATCAGCAGGTCACTACAGAGTAAACAATAAATAACTTTCTATTAACAGGAAGAATAATGCGAGGAGGAGGTACCCAGAAAATCCTAATGAAGCTACAAAAGATCAGCTCCGGCCTGCCTTAAGTTCACAGCATTTCACCAGCTAGTGGTGCTTCAATGAGAACAAGCAAATTAGAATTAAGCCCTGTAGCTGATATGACAAGGCTAAAAAAAAAACAGCAGAAAGGAGCTGGATGTAGAGCCTTGCTGCCGAAGCACTGCTGTTACCCAGACAGTCTTAAAGGGAAAGGGGAAAAGGCAAAGGCTGTGTCAAAATTAAATTCTGTAGCAATGATCTGGCAACGTTATTTCTCTTTAAATTTCAGTAACTTCATAAACAGGCTTGCTCCTCTTCTAGCAGTGCAAGCAATATGTGATTACATTACTTTCTTGCAACAATAAAACCCCCGGTTTAAGTCTCTGCTGCACCCCAGGGAAGTGCTCTGGGGCTGGTTTTGCACCTTCTCCTCTTTTGATCTACATGGGTAGCTCGGCCGATCCTGACACCATCTCATAAACGGATGGATGCTTAAAACCCTAGAGTTTAGAAGCACGAGTGTATCTTATATCTGGGGAAATAAAATTGTATTTTTATTAAATGCTGGGCTTTTAAACTTGTAATTCTGAACATCAACATTTATCTAATAAAAGAAGAGCTGCTGGTATTTTTTCCTGTGACCAGCACAACCTAGCACCAGCTTTTGAAGGGCAGCGAAGGCAATGGAGCAGGACTCTTAGAAAGAGGAGGAACTGATTTCTTAATCCAAAAACTTTAAAAAAAAAAAAAAAAAAAAAAAAAAAAAAAGACTCACTTTTAAAATGTGTTAACTGTAATATAAAGAAAAAAAAATAAGGAAAGAAAGAAAGAATGCTGGGTTTGTGTGGGAAGGAAGCATATTTAAATCTGCAATGAATGATGTACCTTGTAATTATAGGAACCATTGAAAGAGATAGTCAGAATTAAAATGCTTTAAATATCCAGATTGAAATATTAATTTAAAAAATTTATGTATGTATAAATGCACACAAACAGAGGTAGATGACAAAGGGCTGAAGTTCAAATCAACTCAGGGAATGAAATCGGCCCCGTTAAGTGAAAGCTGAAGTCGCTGAGCTCAGCAGGAAGGGCTTTAGGAAGGATGTGGCTGGAGCAGCGATTCTGAAACTTGGGGTTTAATGGTAAATTAGGGTCTGTGGAGTGCTGTAACTGCCTCCCAGCGATTCTTTTCTACAGCACATGAACTCTGAGAACTCTTAAAAATTAAATCAAAACACCCTTCTAAATTTTGAATTACCAAACAATGGGTGATTAAGCATAATTATTAAGCTTGCAGCAACAGAAGTAACATATTTCTTCTGTTATGACAAAGTTCTCACTGCTTAATGTGCTTTTATAAGACAGTTATAAAGTGTCTCATGGTATTACAGACATTTTACGTCCAGCTATTAATATTGCTTACTTAGCTCACGGGATGGTACATATTTTCACTCTGAGATTATTGTGTCTGTTTTACCAGCTACAGATAAACCCGTGTGCCCATTTAACACTGAGAAATGGCATTTTTCAAGCAAGGCGTATGCTTAGCTGAGCGCAGAACTGGCACAAGGCACCTGCAGAGGCATTACAAAGTTAGGATTTCAGTGGGACAAACGTGCTGGATTCTCTCTCTGTAGAGGAGAATATTTTGCCGTAAAGTTTTTCTCATAAAAGACTTTTCTTTCATAAAGCATCACGCTGAGTGCTCAGAATTTCCTTCCGACTCCCCTCGAGTCACGCTGACAGAGCTGCATAACCCACAGATCGACGCAGAAAGCCCAGGGGAAATGAAAATTGTCCTTCCTTGTTTGTTCGACTGTTTGTTGAACATTAATCCAGCACTCCTGGCTTTTTCCAAAGTTGTTCTGAGACTCTGGGAATGCTTGTTTTAATGCTATTGACACGTCAAAGCGACACCTACATCTCATTATACTCTATACAGCTGGAAAAAAGAGAGATCACCTGCAAAACGCCTTGGCTGCTGAACCAGCATTTTACCAAACACTGCCTCCAAAGAGGGTGATTCACTCGCACAGGTTGGTGGTTCAGTCTGAACAGCACCTGCCAAAACTGCTGCCAATGCATTTCACTTCAGAATCGTTTAAATATTTGCGAGGAACAAGGGCTTCTCCATGGCATCAGCTTCTCCATGGCTTGGACACCTCCACCTCTCTCCTTTTCCCATCAGTGACATGAGGGACACCAGGCCCAAATCCTGCCTGAGCAGCCCGCCGTGTTCACCACCTCAGTGGAGAGGTTTGAGAGGCATCATTTCACTATCAAATCCTTCTCACTTTGGGAAGGGTTAATTTGGAGAACATTGCAGCTTCTTGCTCTGTGTGTGGGTGAGTGTGGGGGTTTCTGTTTTGTTTTTGAGCAGGAAATCATATTTTGAGCTTTTACTGAGGGCCTTAACCCCCCAAACGGCAAGCATGTTGATTGGCCCTAATGCAGTCCCAAGCTCTTCTGTGTTTTTTTCTCCATCCCACTCTCTATGTAAATCATCTTTCTTCTGCTTTGTCTCCGTAGCCTGCAATCCCTCTCAATTTTTGTTTTAATTTCTTATCGAGTGTACTGAAAATTATTAAGCACATTGAGTGCTACCGAGTCAGCTGTTTTGCCTCCAGACTGTCCATCTTTCAGCTGGCATCGATTTCACAGAGAGCTGCTAAAACCTTTTTGCATGGCCCTCCAGATTTCCTGAGAGATTCAAAGTCTTCAGGGACCTCGAGAGCTCCAGTCTGACACGTGGGTTATTATAATCCTGGGGTGGTGTATCCAGAAAGCTCTCAGAAACAGCATCTGGGCAAGGGCTGCTTCAGCCAGGCTGTTCCTCTGCTGCAGTCAGCATCAGCTCCCAACCAGCACCACACAACACTGCTCCACAGCTCCCAGCTGGTTCTTGCAAGAGCCCCTCAGAAGCTAAAATTCTGCCTTTTACTACAAATTTAAACACACATTTACAAGCTCTGATTATATTTGAATGACTAATACCTTGAAGGAGTCACCAAAGAGGCGTAAATTAGAGTTATCAGGTCAGATCTTGGACAGAGGCGGTTGGTACAACCCTGTTTATTTCCCAGCATGAGGTGAATCAGTTCAAGATCTCTTTCCTTAAACTAAGACGTACTTTTAGAAAAAACACTCATCATTTTGAAATTGTTAGGATATGGAAAACAATATGCAACCCAACATCAGCACCATGTAAGTGTACAAACAGCCTGCAAAACTCCTCCTGGTCAGGAGTTTTACTAACTGATCTAATTTCTTCTTTTAATTACTGTATTGCTTTTAATACAAATTATTACTTTGTGCACACACTTTATTTTTACATGTAATACAGTTCTAAAAGGTTTTATCTTTTTTTTCCCCTTATTGAGCCCAAATCACCTGTTATTATGTCCCACTGATATACCTACAGGCCACGTCATCAAAGCAGCATGGACACAAACAGCACCAGGACTTGTACCGAGGATGCTGCACCTTCCTGGTGTGTGCCAGGCTGAATTTGTGCAGTCCTGGGTGACACGCTTATGTTCGGGTGGCTTCTCCAACCATATTTCTATTTTACAGTGTGAATTTCACTTCAGCATCAGAACTGACTTGTCCATGTTTTCAGCAGTGCATTGGAGCATTTTGGTGTTACTCAATAGTTTTTCTTACTCCATCTCAACAAGAAGTGCTGGTAAGGGACAGGCATCAGGTAATGGTTTTGCCTCTTAGCTGTTAAATGCTGACTGCTGCCTCTTTTGAAGGCAGCAGTGAAGATGATGCCCCCTGATTCCTTTTGCACATCTCCCCCAGTTTCTTCCCTTGCCCCGCTGCCGTAGCCCTTTGGTGCCACCCCAGAAGGGCAGATGGGAGAGGGAACAGCAGCAATGCCCAAGGTCAGCTCTGACCAAACCCCAGCAAGGAGGCTCCTGATGTTTGGTTCCAAGTTCCTGCCACTCTTTCTTTCTCCTCCGAGGTCTGTACATGTGTACTGCCATCTGGTACATCTGCAGCCTTTCTCCATTTACCATGAACACAAAGCAAAGGCTTCACCTCCTTCGTGGTGCTCCATCTTTGCTGTCAGTAAGCTGCTCTTCCTTCCACAAGTCCATTCATGTACGCAAACCCTTTCTTAGACTGCATTTGCACGTCTCATGTAGTTGTTCTTTTTTTTAAAGGCTTCTCTTTCTCATTATGCATTTACACTGATGTCCATTGGTTAAATCTGGTTTTGTTACCCGCAGTTCCCAGCTGGTTTGGCTGTTTGCTTATGGTCCCTGTGTGGTCTCCTGCAGGTACTTACACCCAAGAGACAGATATGATGAGAATTTGAGTGATCTTGGAACCAGGCTTTAAATTCAAACCTAAATGACGATGGTCACAAGCCTTTGTTTTATCTCCATTCTTAATACACTTTACAACTTGTCTTTGCCTCAGAACAAGGGAGGAAAACTGCATTGCCTAAGCTTTGCTCATGCCAGACCTCAGGATTTCAACAAGGGCAGCTTGATGCCCTTGAGAATCACAAAGGTATGAGAATTACAAAGCAGAGAGGACAGGAAATCTCCCTTCCTCCAAACTGAACCTTGCTCCTGCACCAGCAGAGCCAGCTTGAGGAGTGACTGCATCCCCAAGACCAACAGCCAGCACGTCTAAGCTGCTTTTGGCACCACATCTGAGGAGGTGGGAGGCCATCCCATCACCATTAGAAGCCCCTAAGAGAGCCGTGGAGGCCAGGCAGTGACACCGGGCTCTGCACAGTGTCAGGTGGGGAAGACAACGAGGGACCACAATGTTTCCCCCAGAAACAGCAAATAATATGGATCTTGCCGAGCTGGTCACTGCCCCTGCGTTTTTAAGAAAAATCTGAAATTAATCTTTCATAACTGCATGTGGTCAGGATGTTAATTTGAGCTCTACCCAAGAACCAGAGTGCAGGAGATAAAGCAGCAACTCGAAGGCTGTGCTGAGATGTTGACGGAGCCGTGACTCACAGAGGTGCCACCCACCGAACCTCCAGCAGCCTCCTTGGATGAGAAGCAGCAGCTACACACGCTTCCCTTCCCCTGTATCCAGCTTCAATTCACACAGAGACCTATGAGTCTGTGTATATATATACACACACACACATTATACATCGACATTTAAATATAATATACTGCCAGAGTTATGATTTTTTAAATATCTGAAGGATGTGGTATCTTGGAAACCAATTGCTTCGAGCTGCCCAAATCAATTACAGAGTGAATCAACACATCGCCTCGGCGTGGGAGAAGCGAGCAGCCGGTGCTGCCGCCGGCCCCGTCCCAGGGGCTGCGGGGCTCTGGCAGCCCCTGGTGCCCCCATTCCCCTGGTGCTGCACCCAGAGCACCAGCCACGGGGGCTGCAGGCACGGAGCCAGCAGCTGCAGCAGGTTTTTGGGTGTCGTCCTCGGTGGCTTCTCCAGCAGGAAGGTGTAAGGGCCTCACGGTGGGAGCAAACCACGTACACAGCCTACAAAGGTGGCTTTAACTCTTCATGCCTGCACAGATTCGGATTCTTTCATTCCATTTTCAATCACTGTCTGTGTTTGATAGTTGAGCAATCAAACAAAAACAAACAAAAAGAGTGAGCAACGTTTCCTTTTTATTTTTTTCTTCCTTTTTTTTTTTTTTTTTTTTTCCCCTACATATGCCATTTACACAAATAAACACTCTGAAAATTAAGTGGCGTGTTCATCCTGTTTCCCTATGAGGAAACAGACCATAGCAGGCATGAGTGAGCTCATGGCCCACTGATGGCAGCCAGAAATGACATTTGGATATTTCTGGTGTGGCTGTGACGTGTGAGGTGTGACGCAGGAGCGCACCCATCCATTTCTTGTGGCTCTCAGCTCAGCAAGGAGGCAAAAGACGTGCTCCAAAGGGGCTTGCCCTGTGCACAGTGACGGTCACCAGCACTTATTCTGATTCCCAGGTTCTCAGAATTTAGTGTAAAGGAGCGCATTGAGCTGGTTATTGCAAATAAACTGGTCAGTGCTTGCTTTGGGAAGAGCAAGCAGTGGAAATCGCAGGGCTCCACTTCCCTGAGGGGTTACAAACCAGGTCCCTGTGCCAGGGGTCCGTGCACCCGGGGAGGGGAGAAAGAAGGGAGGGGGCTTGCCAGGGCACGGGGCAGGTTAACAGCGCACACAGACTGCTTAAATTTATGTTCAAACCCTGCTGCTTGCTCGTCCAAATTTCATGTGAGCAGTGAATACCGTGATCCACAGATAAGAGCTGACCAAGTGCGTTCGTTTTGTTCCTCTCAGATCACTTTCGCTGCTTTGGCCAGCTCTGTGAAAATGCTGAAATCTTAAATAATGGTCCAAAAATGGGCTTATGTAGCTAGGGGAGTGTGGGTTGCTGAGAGAAGAGATTGCTGAGCTAAATATTTGGCAGAATTAAGAAAAGCAGGAAAGACATGTGGGCATAAAGAAATAATTCAATATTAAATTTCTGGCAGAATTCATAAAATCTGTTTATAGTTGAGATCACAGTGAGCCACTTACTTACTATTATTGGAAAGAAGGCCCAGCATCGGAGGGATTTTGCTTGCAATGGTTTTGCAGATATTAAAGAACAAAAGTATTAAGAGAACATTTAAATACAGGCAAATTCCCTGGCGGTCTCTGCGGTGAGAAGCTGCTCGCGGGTGCCGTGGCCATTCGGGACGTGCCCTCCTGGTGCTGTTTGCTGCTCTTGTGCTGTCAGGTTGTCTTTGACCAGGGGGGTACTTGCTGGTTGGGGTTTTTAATTCCCTTTTAAGTGCCTCCATATGGTTTTGTTCTTGATCTCCACCTCCACCAGCTTTTTCTTAAGTCTTTCATGATTTCCCACTTTGCTCAGTCTCTTTTCATCCCCTGTGAAATAGGGAATAGCAAAAGGGGGATAGGGGAGCGCCTCTGCTCACTGCGTGCTGTGTGGCACGTCTGGGCGATCTGCTGGGGAATTATTTAAGCACCAGAGGAGAAGCAAGGAGGCAGCAGCCTGGGCAGGAGGATCACCTGCTGCTGGATTCACATGGATCCCACAGATGAAATCCTGGGAGTGATGCTGTGCGCTGGGATGGGGTTTACACACAGCACCACTCGCCCTGAAACCCTGCTTCCCTTCAGGAAGAGGCAGATGCCACAGCTGGCCTCCTGCCCGAATGCTAACAGTGCATTTTTGTTTCCAAGGCCTCCCAGGCCAAGCGACGGGGCTGGTTCAAGCAAGTGCCAGTACAGGATCCTCCCCTCTCCCCCATCCCTGCTCTGTGAGGCCAGCTGGACCCAAAACCCTGCTGAAGAAAGAGACCAGGAACAGACCTTTAACTGAAATTTCACATAAAACAGAGAAAACAGCTGCAGAAAGATAGGGACTAGGGAAAACTTCACTTTCAAAAATAAAATAAAATAAGATTTTCTCTTTTAGAAGAAAAAAATGCAGTTTAAAATTATTCCAGATTTTCAGTGCAAAGGAAAAAAAAAAATCTAAAAATTCAGATAAAATCACAGGTAAGGTCAGGATATTTTCAGTTCTCTTTGGCAGGAATAACAGCCTCCCTTTCTTCCTTGCCTCTTCCTCACTAAAATGAAACAAACAACAGCAAGTAAACAACCAGAAAACACTTTCTGATTATTTTTTTTCTCTTATGTGCTGCCTGTATGCAAGGCCAGGGAAGAGTTGCTGGGGAATATTTTGGACGTGGCTGAAGCTGCTGTACAAGAAGAACAAACAATTGTGTAGAAATCCTTGTACGCTCTGCTCGGCCACATCAGAAAGAGCAAACCCAGCACTGCCCACACCCACGTGAGTATTTTGGTTTTCCAGGCATCACCTCCTTCCAGAGCAGCTCCCCGGGCACCCTACGCCTGCCTCTTTCCTGGTGAAAAACCATCCCTCTGCTGGATGCCAGCTTTTGTGGAAGTTTTCCAGACCTTTTTCTTGAACAGTACCTGTACCTTACACACACAACTCCTCAGTACTCCTCAGATGACTGCAGCCAATATTTTATCTTCTTTCTGATAGCATTTCTTTTACAGGCGTTTGTTGTAGAAACACACTGTTCTGACGGGGAAGCCTACACAATAGCTGGAAGGCTCAGCATCACATTGCAAGTCCCTGGATGCTTGCTTTCTGGGAAGAGTTTCCTTCAGGCTGGGACAGAGCCAGGAAATTTGGTTTACCTGATACACACACACGTTTGTTCTTAATGTGCTCAGGAAAAATACTGGTATCGAGACTTTAGATATTATCCTGAATGTCCTATGTAGTTACTACTTCTGTACTGCACTGGGTTTCAAAACGTTGAAGTAGGACTGACTTGGTTAGGTTAACGCACAGGCTGAACTTCAGCAGGTGCCTATGAAAAATTAGAAACAGCCAAATCTGAAAGTATCCCGAAGGCTCCAGATCTCCACACCAAACCCTCTGCTCAATTCAGCTACACGCATGCGGTGCTGAGCAGAACGGCCACGGACAAACAGGGGCAGAGCTAAGGCTGCACATTCAGCCTGGTCTCGGTCTCCCGATTTTCAAATGCTTGATTCCTCACTTTAATACTGCATTTATTTTTCATTTACATTTTTAAGAGTTACTCGTGAAAAATAAAGTGAGGACAGCTCAAGGCATTTTTCCCCCAATTACTGGTTTTTCGCCACCAGGTGGCAATGCAGCCACAGCCATCGCCTCTTTTCTTCCCCCCCCATTCAATTTCAGTCACCTGCAAATTTGTTACTAAAGCTTTTGTCTGACATATTTGCTTCATCTTCATTTATTGCTTTTCTCTCTCAAACTTTTTAAATCTGCTCCTCATCCTTGTAGCCCCGTAACTGCACTCCGGCTGCCACCGGGAGCACCAGGCTGTGATGCTCGTGACCTCCACAGCTTTTCTGTGGGGGGGAAAGAACTGGAGCTGTGTGGATGCCCGAGGGTGTGTGGGGACATGGAGAGAGGAGAAATGACTGAAATACTTTTTCCCGAATGTCTAGACCAGAACAAGTTAGTCCTTCTAAAGCATGACTTAGCCCCTCTGTGCTACTGACAGGGGCTTATTTGCAATTTTCAATGTGAAGTTTTATCCTTGCAAAGGCCAGTTTTGGATGAACTCAGTTGATGTCAGACGACTGAGAATTTTACTTACACAGCCTCTGTAAATGAGCAGGGATCAGGCTCACACCTGCAGCCGCAGAGAGGTGAGCGTGTGCCTACCCAGCACAATGCACGCGTGTGCACGCAGCCACACTGCCACCTGGCAGCACTTCTGAACAGCAGCCCTCTCAAATAAGACTGTGAATCTATAAACTGATAGTGGTTAGCTGAATGGTTCACCACCCAACGTTAACCCACGGGAAGGGCTGTACCTTTCCAGGCCCTACCACATCCATCCCTCTTCATCTGGGCAACGCAGACCTACACACGGACATCCGGACTGAGTAAGGAATGAGGTTCCACGAACGCAGTGTCCACTTTTATACACGTGAGTTTTTACAAGACAATAGGAAATATAGAAACTGAGAACTTCGTGTAGGAAAAGGAGTTAGTTAACCTTTATTTCATTTCTCCATAGTCCCAAACTTGACAGACGTAGAAAAATATCCTTGAGTCTAGTAGACAAATTTACCAATGCTAAATAGCCCTTTGCTCTGACCATTTGGGCCATCCTAGATACATTTGTACAAGCATTACTTCTTTTTTTTTTTTCAGTGAAAGGTTTTGCTAAACTATAAACAATAAGCTACAGAGAAAAAGCTTGTTCTATCAAAGCATGCATATGAAGATACCTTCCAAAACTTTACCCAAAAAAAAAAAAAAAAAAAAAAAGGAAAAAAGCATCTTGACACACACCTGGAGGATAAAACATAAAACAATTTAGAATAATTTTAGGAAAAAAAAATAAAAATAAGTCAAAGCAAATTCTGTAAACCAGCTGTGGATAAGTTTAAATATCTATGGCACAACTTTTCACACACAAAAAAATAAAATAAAAAAAATAAGGCAAAGACCAACATTTTATATAAAAATAGCTGAGCAGGCTTCTAAAGAAGGAAATAAGCATTTCTTATGATGACTCTGTTAATACAGAATTATAAATACCCTTATATATACAGAACAAAAAATATATATAAATGAATGGAATATTTCACTAGGCATCCATCTCTCAAATAAGCCAAGATCATCCGTCCTGGACTATCGTGGAGGTACTTCAGTTTAGGATTTATAGTAGTTTCTTTGCTACACATACTGATACAAATAATAAAAACGCAATATAAATACTGATCTTTCACAGAGAGTCATTAATACACTCAGGTTACAAGGCTTGACAGATTGGCCCAGAAGGAAATGATGCTAGTTTTAAGCTGGTCAGTTATGTTAAGCTTTGTAAGCTGATGAAAAAATCCATGATACAGGATAACATTTAAACTCTGAGAAGAAGTCAAACTAATACCTTTAGGGAAAGTAAAACAGAACCTATCATAGCAGAAGATTCATTACCTCTTCATAAATACAGCAGTTTGTTTATATGCCAAGAGCACTTAGAAATACCATTATTAGGGGCATTTTAATGCATTTCCAAGCCTAAAGTTACCGGTTTTGCGGAGCTGAATTCTAATCAGTATTTGTATAGATGTATTTTACTCCTTTTTAACTTTTCAGAACTATGTAATCAATATAGTAAAACTTACAAAAATGAGAGCAAATCAAGTATATTTTAGATGAATTACATTAGTATTTTAAGTATCTTTGTAGGTGCTAATAGGTCGATCATGTTCATTCTATCTGTGCACATTATAATTGTGCACACCTATACTCATATACACTCTCAGTAATTCTAAAAATTATAGAAATTACTTCCCATTAGAGAGCAAGATTTTCCCCAACATGATTTAGTGGAGTCTGACTTTATAAACTGTACTTCACAAAATCAGAGATAAAGTAGAAGCTCATATTATCCAAGGTGTTGAAATTTTTCTATTCTTTTATATATATATTTTAATAAAATCCCCAAGACCTTCATTGCTGCCATTCAGCTGAAATGCCTCCTTGTCTCATTCCCTCCCCAAAGCCACAGCTTGAAGAGGCTCGTTCGTTCTGTCCACCTCCCCCCATGTATTTTGTAGAGATAGATGGGATGGGGAAAATTATAGGGACTTTGTTACAAAACATGATCTACGTTTACATATAAGCCTTAGCTTGCTACTGACTCATTTTAACTTAACACTTGCTTACAAGCAAATCAAAATAGTTTCTACAAGACCTTTACACTTGTTGTTATGAAAAAAAAAAAAAGATAATAGCTGGCACTAAAAGAAGAGAACATTCTTATGAAATACTTTATCTCAGAAAATGTAAAATCTTATTCCTTCTCATTACATTGCTGAGATGTGTTATTTGACTGATCTCTCTGATAAATTAATCTACGACGTATTAAGAAACATTACGACAATCATTTAGTACCAGAGTATTTCTAAGTATAATACCCATTTCTTACAACAGCTATACCAAAAATTGTACAGCTACAAAAATTTACTGTATCATCCTTGAACTTTTATATAAATATTTACTACTGTTAACATATGCTAATCTTTTTTTCCCCAGTATCACATTTTTATTATTTCCCTGTCCATAGACTGTTTAAGACAAGTACATAAAATATACTAAAATTACAAAAAAAAAAAAAAAAAAAAAAAAAAAAAGACATATCACACAACTAAAAAACAAGCACAAAATTGAAGAATGTGTGTTGGAAATAATTTATTGCCTATAAAAACTTTTTTTTAATTCACATTTTCTGTGTGGTTTTAAAGGTGGTGTTATGTTTCAGAGGTAGTGTGTGTAAAATGCAATACAGAGTTTGAAAAGGTTTACTTAGTTCTGTCATACAGTAAAATGTTCACCAGAACCCAAGCACTGACCTGAAACCATTTTCCTTACAGAAACATTCTTAAGCATCATTTATTGAAGAGGATTGCTTATTTGTCTAAAAACAATAACAAACAACCACCACGAGCCCAAATTTCTGCCTCTGTTCTGTGTTGTCTTCTGACCAAAATGTCAGTCACTATCTTAGAGAGACAAATACTCTTTAGTCAAGAGTAAAAACCCTATTCTGCCGCAGAAAGCATTTTGTAGTACCTTTTTTTATTTATTTTTTGCTCGTAACTTTCCACATTTGGCCAATGTACTAACATATTAATTGGTCAGATAAATCAAACGCTGTAAACCAGCTCCTGTTTTCTCTGATAACTAGCTGGAGCTTTCTTACCACCCTCTAACTTTGGCCAGGCACCTCACAACTGATAACTTAAAGTGTTATGATTATTTTGGGGCAGAAAAGGCAGAGTCCTGAAATGCAAGTTGAGAGCTAGGCAGCTGCTAGCTCCTCCAACACGGAAAGCAGCCTTGGAATTCACGGGCTGACCTGAAGGATCTGGGCAGCAGGACTGGAGGTAGTAAATTACACTTTTGGTTGCAATACTACAAATTACTAATTCTTCATGTTTCAGATATTCTGTGTGCTATTCCATTTATGCATATTATTTTCTAATCTTATTCTATCAGTATCCTGAGACCAACAGTCAGCTACGACTATAGTACCTATGGAAAAGTTAGTGCTGTGCATTATCTTCTTTTTAATGTTACTAATACGGTAGTGCAATAGAGACCCCGAATCGGATAGCTGATGAATTTTAAGCAGTAATTTCCACAATAAAGGTGTGCATGATATGGTTGATTTGTCCTATCATTTCAGCTCTATAACCACAACTGTACATATTACTGTCCCCGTTTGGTTCATAGACCTGACAAACTGCTTCCCAAATTTAGAAAATGAGAAACTCAGAGGACTGCAAAGCCCATGATCTGCTTGTCATTTTCAGACTTTTTATTGCCTTAGCGAAAAAGACATACTTGGAAAGATTAAAGTGCAGTGCTGCTTCAAGAGCCAAGTACTCAAGAAAATTGACACTTGTATGGTACATCTGTTCACCTACTTTTAAATCTGCCAAAATTAACCTATTAGAATATTTACTATTACTCCTGTTAGACCTATACACTTGACAGAAGCAACATCTGCAGGGAAATGAAAAGAGGCATAGCTTCAGGAAGCAGCTTTCTTAAGAATAAGTAAGCTTGCTAGCAAAGAAGTGCACTGCTCCTTAAGAAAGGAGAGCGCCCTGGTTCTGTTGTCAAGAGTCTGTTCTGAACTACCTTGTCCCACTTTGGTTTCTTCAGAAAGATTGGCCATTCATATTCCAACAGACGCATTAGGAATAAACAATGCCTGCCAAGTCATCTTCCATGGACAAATGAGAGCCTCAGCAGCAAGACAACGAAAACATCAACACACAGCACTGCGGCTGCAGCAGTGATTCAACTTACAGATCCAAACCAGGGAAACAGCAAGGGGGACTTCTTTCTTTCATCACGACACAACGCAACATTAGCTTTCTCTGCCATGGGAAGTCTGTGCTAATGCTGAACCAGCACTTAGTGAGTGCTTTGTGCTCGTCCTATGAGCAAATAAACACAAACCAAAACCCTAAATATGTCATGGGCCCAGAGAGCTCTCACTATCATTTTCCATCACCTGAAGAACTCTCAGAATGGAAATGAATAACCTGATGACTCCACAGCAGAACCTGATGCTTCTCAGCACGACTGCTAAGACAAAACTGGACAGGAATACGGATGGCAACAATTGCCAAATTCCATCCTCCTGTTCTAAGGTCCAGCTGAACTGATACAAGTTACCAGGATCTGGACGTAATCTGCGAATTTGAGGGGCACATTGAGTCTGTTAGGGACACAAACAAACAAAAAAAAAACCCAAATCACAAAGCCATAAAGCATGCGTGGCGCTAGTCTGATCTGCAGTACTCCGGGATGTGCTTTCTGTAACCCTGAAGGACCGCTGAGCTCTGTGTTAGCCTCAAAAGCAAGCGTCTTGCTTTTCAGCCACTGAACTGCAAAACTATTGTTGCTGCAACATTTTAAATAACCAGCAAGGGTAATATAGCAGTAAGCTTTTTGTTTTACCTATGACAGGAAATACATACTGATGTTGGAAAAGGAGCACAGAACAGCTGTGCAGTATGATCTTGTCCAGTATTTCGTTACACAGGAACATAATTCATACCTCTTCCTCCGGAACAGCCTGTATATTGCCACATGTTTGTGACTACTTCACTGTGTTTTGTCTCGTCACCCTACAGAAAAAAAGGACCAAAGAACAACTTGTCCAAAGGGATGACACGGGTGGTGACTGCAGCTAGTACTTTAGCTGCACATCCTAAAGATGATTCCCGCTTCCTTGAGAAAAGGGGCTTGTGTAATTGCTGGAATCTGACAGTAGTTCGTTCAGAATTAATTCCTTCAATTTATTTGGCACATCAAATAAAAGCAAGACAGGGCAAATACCAGTTATTAGCAAGGAAAATTTTCTTGTATAAAGGTGGATAACTTAACTGACCACAAAATCGAGAACTCTCAGTAAGAGTTTCCTGCCCTTTGTCATGGGAATTTAAGCAAAAGCAGCAGGAAAACAGGGTCCAAATAGTGGCAGATCTCAGTACTATTTTTTCATTATTTCAGCAAAGCTCACAGGAAACAAGAGGCTTTATTGTCAGTGGCACAAATTTCCTATCTCAAGAGAACAGTAATAGAGAGCATTGTTAACTCAGTATAAAAAAACCCTTTGTAAAAGATTTTTTCCACAGTGAGCAGAATCACAGTTGAGCTCTATCTCACATTTGAAGGGTAGTATTGTGGTCTTTGCTCACGAACCTTAATTAATTTTAGATTGGTGGTCATTTCAGCAGGGATGTAAAATATGGTTCCTCCTTCGAGC